TTGAATCCACAAATATGGTGTAATTGCTGAAAATACACCCATACGGGTGCATAAAGCTACTACTGACTTGACTTGACTTGAATTTCGTGAATACATCTCAAATTTACCCATCGTCTCGTGAACTGATCCTCATCAGAATTGGGAAATGGACACTTATACGTAGCGGAATACGTATCTACCCAGCAATCGAAACTATCCCATACACCTGCTAGTGACCGTGATCCCAATGTACGGTATTGCCCGCGGGAGTATATGGTCACTAATTTGGGCGAGATAACACGATCAAAATCGGTCTACAGTTTAGAGCCGTTGGAGGCAGTGATCACCGGGCATGAACATGAGATCGTATGCTACATCGTAACTAGACGTTGAAATGCTGTTGCAATCGTTAAATGTTAGCAGTAGAAAAAAAACAGAGCACAACACAGAAACAGCGTGACAATTTTTTAACAGTTCTCATCACAAACCTATGCCATGCAGCGTTAGCCGGTTGTAATAATTGTCAGCTGGCGAAAGCAGTTTTCACACGGTCTCCTGCATAAGTAAGTGTTGTGTGCAAATTACACCACTTGGAAAAGATTGATGAAATAGACGGATGGGTAGAAAGTGACGTAACAGGACTCGGTTCTCATCTGGACCTGTATGGATCGGAAGATAGTTACTCACTCACCTTGTCAATTCGTGTTTGAGTTACACGATTTTCCGTTTCAATTGCTTCCATCCGACGACGACTCTCGACCAGACGATCTTGCAGCATTGCTTCTTCCCGGATCAGATCACTGAGTTCCGTTCGTAATCGGGCAACCTCTTCTTCTTGACTCTGACCACGTGCACGAGGATAGAGCAGGGGAAACGACAGACACGGAATATCACTATCGATCGAGATGGGATGCTAACGAGTCTCTCGTGTCTGTTTCCGTATTTTGCAACAGATGTTTGAATTCTCACCAAGAAGTTCATCTGGCATCCTCCTTTGAGTTTTAATACTACCCGGGGTTAACCGGGGCATTTCGGTTTTTGTCAGTCTCTTAAAAAAAAACCGATCCGTATTAATTGTCAACACGAACTTAGTAATACATTCATGTTAGCTTTCGGCAGACTCACAGCTCATTTCGTCGATCACAGATCATCGTTGATTATATCTTGCTTAGGAACAATAATAATAATAACAAGAGTTAATACGCTGTCACGCTTTTTTTCAGAGAACAAAAGTGATTCCTGTGTAAAAGCAGATCACACCGCTGATAGCACAGTTTTGCTGCATGAAATGGGAAAAATAGTAGCCAGGTTTAAAAAAATGGGCCGGAAGAGAACCCAGGAAAGTAAACAATGAAGTTAACTATACAACACCCAGAGGGAAAGGCCCAGTCATGCATGCATCAACCAACAATGACACAAACTGGCGCGTAAAATGAATCAGCAATTTAACAGCAATCATCGGATTGACTGCCCCCACCTCCTAAAACAAGCGAGGATATCTGAATAACATTACCATTCAATTTATTCCATCACTGTTCAACGGTAATCGTTGTCAGGGAGCGAAAGGCAATAATTTGATTAGACCAGGCAATCGACGTGGAGCTATTTGCAGGAAGGTATTTTCACGCTGTCCCACAATTCTCACTCTAATGGGCTATGGACACGAGTTGTCCGTTGTAACACTTCTCACACATCCTCACGGAACATACGGTGAACCTAGCAGATGAGTGTTGTGTCACCCATCCTCTCCACTCGGTGGGTGGGTGGGGGGAGGAGGCTAAGTAACTGAAAAATCAATGAGGATAATAAAACACGAAAACGGTAACATAGATAAAGGATAGGAAGAAAACTCCATATGATTTCGGTCAACTGCAGGAGTTCCACGATTCAGCCCACATTGGGGCTACGGAATGGATTGTGTCTGGGGATTCACGGGACAACAGTGTGCAATGGGTTTTCTTTTATGGAAAATTTTGTTTTGACTGGAACTAAGCAACTTTCTATCGGTGTGACCTCGTAGTACAAAAGTGTAGGTGACGTCCATGAGTGGGTTCAAATCCCACTGAGGGTACTGAACAGTTCACATACAAACTTCGAATGTGTCAAACAACAATTTGAACAATTTTCTAGTTGTCGAATAACAACATTTGACTGAAGCTATTGCTCAAATAGTTGTTTGGCAGATTTGAAGTTTGTATGTCGATTTTGAAAAGTTTAGTAGCCTCGGTGCGTTTCGAAACCCATGCATGGACGCCGCCTACGCTTTGTACGCGCATGCTCTACCAGCTGAGCTACGAGGCCACACCGATAGCACTGATCTTTTCACATTCGAACCTATTGCTTCAATTAGTCAATTAATTATCCAACTATCGCTAACTTCATTCAGCAATATAAACTAAGGCTAAATCAAAATCAACGAAAACAGGAGAAATGGAGCTATATTATTTAAAAAGGAGTACAGTGCAAGTACATCATTCTCATCGGTATTTATGAATAGAAATTCTACACGCGAGCGGTAAAATTGGGTGTTCTATGGCTAGAATGGTAAGTTGATAGAAAAAAGAACGCGGAAAATTGGGTCAATGCGTAGGGATAAAACAAACATGCAAAAACATCAAAATGTATGCGATGAAACAGGAAGAAGGATTGTTGTGTTCTGTTTTGCTTCTCTTCATTTGTTGCTTTCGTTATTTGTAAACAAATTCCCTCTTTCCATTTTTCATTGTTATTATTCTCTTCTCCATCCGGTGTTCCGGAGAAGAAGAATCGATGCTGTGATTCGATGTGTTTGTAAGTGGGTTAGATGCTACTAACCACAACAAACGTGACCTGATAGTCTTGGTAGAATATTTGATAATAAGTAGTATGTGAATGACTGGACGAAATTCCCCTGGAAGCACACGACCGGTTTCGCGGGTCTTGCCGCTTGTCAGGCATGCGTATCCGGTAAGCTTTTGTCAGTTCATTCATATATTTTGTACTTATTGTGACGAAAGCACACTTCCCGAGCCCACAATCGGTTTCACTGTTCTTGTCCGTGGATGAACCAGTACTATGGTTTGATGTTCCGGAGATGGGTCAAATGTTACCAACCGTGACGAACCCGACTTACGTGTCTTTAAAGAGTATATATACACTTAATAAGGATAATTTAATTTCATGGAGGGATTTTGGAGTGGATGGAACGAATGAAAAGCTGAACTGAAAGCTAGGAGGTACATGACAACTGTTTTGATCTGGTTGGGTCTTCTCATCAGCAGCGATGCGAATCCATTGATCCAACTGGGGATCGAACGTGCGACCTCATAGATAGAACGCAAGCATACTACCCACTTGGCCAGCAGGTTGTGAAAGTTTTCAACCGAGCCCGACCCCCGGGAGGCTAGTGCTGAAAAGAGTGAGCGAGGCGCGATGCCCGAAACAAACTCGCAAAGATGGATTGTGCTATAACGCGTAAATGGAAAATAAGAAATAGTCTCATCAGCTGCTCGGCGGTCGAGTGTGTATCATGCTTGCGTTCTACTTGTGAGGGTCCGTGTTTGATCCCCAGTTGATCGACGGATTCGCATCGCTGATGAGAACGAACCAGGTCGAAACAGCTGTCCAGTGCTTCCTAGATTTTCAGTTGACGCTTCATTTGCTCTATACAGGATATATTCCCTCTATAAAATACTTGCTTTTTATATTGATCTGAAATGACTATCCTTTGGACTTTACCTTCACGCACAATCCTCGGTTCATCAATTCAATCATACACTCGGAAGCACTAGACTGGAGTTTCGCTCTGATTAGAGCTCATCAGTAGTGCATATCCACCGTCCAGTCCAGTCCGGGATCCGAACTCCGTACCCATCGCTTGGAGAGCGTGTGCGTACCACTGTGCCTACTAGCTGCTTTTTTGCTCCCTGCCTACCATTACCGGGCGACACATTGCGGAAATCAAAGAACTAATTTACCGATTCTTGCTGTTAATCCAAGACTCGTTTGGAATGAGTAAAATCCTGTGGAATAAATAGATAAATGAACGACCTCCGTCGGATCAACTGTATTCTACTGAACTGTATAAGGTCCCCCTGTGTATGTACGTTTGTAGTGGCAGGCTTCACTTCCTTCGGAATATGGGCCAAACACAAGCGGCGTGACACGGGATAAAGCTGTAAGGCCCGTGTTTCGTTTTTGGGCGCAAAACTATGGTGTTGACGGGTCATAGCGAGTGCACTTCTCTCAAAACCAGCCCCGGAGCTCTAGACCAACCACAGCCTAGTGAAACAGAGTCAGTAGTCTCACGCAATTTTCGCGGTGAGATACTAAAAGGATGAGTGAACCTTGGACTCAGAGATGAAGAGCCCAATGGATCCACATTGGTCGTCGTCACCGGATTATGACATTTAACGGGAGCCAAGTGGACGTCCTGTTAGCGTCGCCGCTGTATTTGTGACTGTGTAACTGCGGTGGCAAGCCACACCCTATGCGCAGATAACCAGCTTCGACAATGGTATCCCTTATCTCTAGGCTAAACCGAGGAATGGAAATGGTAGCATGGAAAGCTGCTTGCACCTTGGTATCTATGCCCCTAGGATCTCATTGCTCGGAGGATGAGTGGAACAGTGAACCTGGAAGAAATGCATTCTCAGAACAGTTTTCCTCGAGAATTCTGATCGAACGTACAGGAAACTCAATTCCGAAACGTCCCAAAGAGTATGTAAGCAAGACACAAAATGCCAAATAAGCTTAGTCCTAGTGCTTCAGAAGTTTCGTGCACATAAGACTAGTAACAGTTATTGTAAAGGTAAACAAGAGTAGACTGATTGTTCATCCGGTCGCAGGTATTTTGCAGGGTAAACATTTAAAAGCTCAGACGAAACGTTTTTGAGCGCACGGTCACCATCAAAAAATGATAATAACTTTTCATCACATTGCCAACAATTCATAAAGTGTTCACCATTTTAGATGGAAATTGGTTAATCTCGTCAATCAAACGCCACTCGAGCACAGGACTAAAAACGTCGATCGCTTGCAATCCGAGAAAAGAAAAACACTCCGTCCACATAATGAGCAGGAAAAAAAAATTATCCGTGCATTTCACGAAAATCAATTATCACGAGATGTGAGTGATTGAAATTCAAACTTCGGAACACTGAAGTGGCATTCATTCATCAATCACAGTCTCAAAAAAAACATCGAATTGCAAGTTGTCAGGGTAACAACAGGAGCGTCAAATCACACTGCACGTGACCTAATGTCAATTGGCAAGCGATTATAGCAAAATAACGGACTCCGCAATCAATCGGATGCAACTTAAGAGTCAAGATCGAGCGGAGAAATTACATATAACCACAAGGTAATACGCGAGAAATTCCGCTGTTGATCACCAACCTCGATAACCTCAGGTTGACCTGAGCTGAATGTTACCACACGTATCCCCGGTTTGTGGATATGGGATACCTTCACAGAAGAAGGTTAGCTGTGAATAAGTTGTGGCATACCGCAACAAATAAGCAGTCACGAACACACAGTGGCGGCAATACAAAGGTGTGATGGATTTCAGGCTGATTACCTGGCTCCTGACTAAAAGCCGCATAATTCCAATGAGGAGGTCGTCACAAAGGTCGATGCAACTGGCCTTTTAAAACTAAAGTCATTGACTCCCTGACTTCCGAGGCGAGGGATAACTTCCTGCTCTGCCTTGCAGTTCGCACTTGGTTGTGCAAAAGCTAGAGGTGTGCCCTCAAAATAAAAAACTCCGAGTGACTCTGGAGACGTCTTTCGCACCAAACGCCCAAGTAGCTTCATAATCACGTATTCTACGGAAAAAAATTAGAAACATTCATGCAGCCGGCT